AAAGCTAGATTTTTAATCATGTTTTTTTCATTTAGATCCAGGTGTATTGCTTCATACCTTCAGGTTTTTGTTTGAATTATTAGAGTGTATTTCTCGTGTAACTAACTACTTTTTTTATGAATTTTCATGTTAACATAGGTACATCAGAACAGCCATAGAATGGTGCAGAAGTTTGAATGAAAGGAAGGAGATTCCTGAATACGCTGCACACTCTGTAAATGAAGAAAATTGGTATTAATCTTTATCCCAAATAATTGCCTACAAATAATGTTGGGGGAAAAAAAAAACTAAAAGAGACTATAAACTGAATTTTATAGATGATAAAAAATGAAAACTGTTAAGTCCATTTATTTGGTGTGGTTTCGTATTTTCAGTGTTCAAAAATGTTACATAAGTTGAGTTCTAGTCATTGCACTTCTGCCTGCCCTACTTAAAAATCAGAATTACTGTGACTTTGCCAAAGGAATATTAATGTTACGTGGGTAGAGTATTGCAAGGTGAAGGGGTTCCAGACTAAGAAGGGTGTCTTTTAACAGAACACCAGGCTGTTCAAAACACTAATTTGAACTGCTAAGTGACACTTGCATCTCTTGCTAATATATTGGTCCTTTTTAATACATGGTAATGACCAAAGATCCACTGACATCATATACAGACATATTCAGCTATTAAAAATGTGCTAACTGAAGTAGATTACACTTGCACTTGTTATTCAAATTATAGCAGATTCAGCAGCTGATGAAAGGAGGATTATGTCTATATTTATACATACATAGAGCAAAGAGACTATTCTGAGAGCAGAGCCCTGATTTCTGGAAACACAAATGATTGGCAAATGGCAGCAACTGACTAGTGGTATAAAACATTAAAGTAAAGCATTTTTTTTTCACTTGGATTTCACTCATCTTAATTTCAGTATTGCTGGAAACTGTTATAATAAAGACTAAAATCTGAAGTAGAATATACATTTGAGAACCTTTTATGATAATAAATTGCTTAATAAACTTTATTTTCTTGGACAGGTCTGCTGATGCTGAGCTTGAAAAAATACAGAGATTTAACTGTATCCTTTTGAAAGCTGTAAAGATTTTTCACTTTTATATTCTGTTGTTCATCTGCATATCCAGATCTGCATTTTATGTCATCAAAGGATCTCTATCCTGTTCTCACCTTCTTTTACTGTCTTACTCACTTCTTAAAATTAAATTAATTATTTTTAAGCTGCTTTTTTGGTTTGGTTTGGTTTGGTTTGGTTTTTTATCATTTATTGTATCCAACTTCTGCATCACAGCACCAGAAACAAAAATGGTGGCAAACTATAGAACTAAAATAAGAAATTACTAAAAGAAAGGAAGTTCAGTAGTAGTTAGTGTGGCTTACACCTGCTAATCTGTTCTTGCAAGGGGGATGATGCAGTGCCTTGGGGCTCGTTGTGGCAGTACAGTACCTCTCTGTTTGTTAGCTACCTCAGTATCATTCTGTGGTGTTCAGCCAGTTGGAAAAAGTGTGCTGTGCAGCATGGGTTTAAAGCCACTCTAGAATTGTCTTTAAGCCACTGTTCATTTTATCAGTGTGGAAAGTGCATCCTGTTAAACTGCGCCGTGTGACATGAGACAGTTTAGTTTTTAGAGTCACTTTTGGGTAACTTGAAGTCTTAGTTGAAGACATCCTCTATAGATGTTGTAGACATTTTTAAGTTGTATGCTCATTTTTTTAGCTTTATGTAACTACCATGCTATGAAATCATAGAATGATAGAACGTGAGACTTTGCAATGCAGAATGATGGATACAAATACAGAGCAGTATTTCCCGTATTGGGAGAAAGAGTTTGATGTTTTCTCTTGACAAACTGACACTAGTTTTATTGGATAATAGCAATATTCTGGAAAGGATATCTACTGCAGAAACCAATCTGTCTGGTGTCACCGTCAGAAAAACAGAAGATGGGAGTGAGCTGGAAGCAATCAGTGAAGTGTGTGTCCTGGAAGCGTTGGAAAAAACTTCCAAAGTAATTCAGGATATTGAGTCTCTACTTGCAGCTTCTGGGAAGCAAAGCCTCATAGCACACGAAGATCAGTGTTCAGTATCCTCGTAGCAGCTGCACCTCAAAGCCTCCTCAGACAGAGCTGGGACAAGGGGAACAGAGGCTGAGGGCAGAGTATTAGGTTGCCATTACAATATCGATACAGACCAGAAAGCCTATCAGTTGCCATTATAATACTACAGTACTATATAGGGGATAGGCAAAAAGGTGAAACAATAGAGCGCAGATCTGTCAGTACGTCAGGGCTGACCTGACAGTGCTGTTTGAACTGTTTCATTTTAGAGGAGATGGTGCAAGAAACTTTAACTGTTCAGGGGAGTACGGTAGGGATAAGCGGTTTTAACTGTAAAAGTATGCCTTTATTCATTACTTTACACCAAGTAGCCTAATACCGAATAAAAATTTCCCAAAATGCTTTCTAGCCTGGTATTTTGTACTGAGAACTTATTAAAGCATCTTCGGCCCTTCCTGGTGTGGTCTGTCGTTATCCGCCGCGA